AGAAATCTGGTTTCAAAAGTAATTTCCTCGCAGTGGTCCAAACCTGGAGGGTCACGTTAGTATAATCTAACAGATTAGTATAGGCCCTAGGACCCCTATACACCAGATTACCAAGTTCCATGAGAGAGCCCAAGAGGGCAGCCGCCAAGAAGACTGTTGTGATAGCCTGAGATCTCATAAACCACCACCACTGAAACTAGAACAGCTGCCCAGTAGTAGACTAAGTAATTCTGCACTGCCAGGCCATCACAGCACACCGGCAAATGTAAAGACTTTGTCAGGCGAGAGAGCCCCACACCCCAGTTCAAGGAACCAACACACTGGTCAATCTCCTTAAAAAGGAGCCATGTATCCAGGCAGGACAGTTGTGAAAAACATAATTGAGCTTAGGAAAAAAAATAATTTTCAGAATATTAATTTACCCCATCAGGTTCCATGGAAGGTTAGCCCCAGAAGAACACTTCTCTTGCAACTGTGCAAGCAAAGGGTAAAGATTGAGACTATGAAAACTAATCGGATCCCTTTTATTCTGGAGACCAAAAAAATTAAATTTATCACCCCACTTCATTGAAGTAGAGACCCTTGCCCGGACGTCATGAGGAAGGGGGACCGACTTAGACCAGTTGACACGGATCCATGAATAATGTCCAAAACTTAATGAAGACAGTGCGTGTAGCCCACAAGAAGGAGTCCACATCTTGTAAGTATAAAAGGGTGTTATCAGCATAGAGCAATATTTTCTCCTTCATGGGACTGACCTCCTGTTGGGTTCCTCTTAGCAGGGGAACAATTGAGTACTGTCCGTGATACTTTTTTTATTTGCACTAACATACAATTTTGAGGACAAGCTTTCGGGGTATGTCCCCTTCTTCAAGGTCTAAGCCAGGGGTGGGAAAAACTTTTTGACTTGAGGGCCGCAATGGGTTCATATATTGGACCCGGGGGCCGGACCAAGAGTAGATGAATGATGTGTATGTGTCATCCATAGTAAGTATAGTAATATTCCCCCATAGTAAGCATAGTAATTAATCCCCCATATAGTAATTCATCCCCCATAGTAATTCATCCCCCATAGTAATTCATCCCCCATATAGTAATTCATCCCCCATAGTAATTCATCCCCCATATAGTAATTCATCCCCCATAGTAATTCATCCCCCATATAGTAATTCATCCCCCATAGTAATTCATCCCCCATATAGTACCCCATATAGTAATTCATCATCCCCCATAGTAATTCATCCCCCATATAGTAATTCATCCCCCATAGTAATTCATCCCCCATATAGTAATTCATCCCCCATATAGTAATTCATCCCCCATAGTAATTCATCCCCCATATAGTATTCATCCCCCATATAGTAATTCATCCCCCATAGTAATTCATCCCCCATAGTAATTCATCCCCCATAGTAATTCATCCCCCATATAGTAATTCATCCCCCATAGTAATTCATCCCCCATAGTAATTCATCCCCCATATAGTAATTCATCCCCCATATAGTAATTCATCCCCTATAGTAATTCATCCCCCATATAGTAATTCATCCCCCCCTATAGTAATTCATCCCCCCTATAGTAATTCATTCCCCATATTCCCCTGTGTCAATTTACTTACCTTTGCTCCGCGCGTTCCTCTCGCCGTGTTCCCGCGCCGTTCCGGTCTTCAGGGCGGACTGTGAGAGGAGCCTAGCTCCCCTCACGTTCGTCACGCTGCCCCGCCTACACACATCCTGACAGCCAATGTATCACGCTCCGCGGGCCGGATTAAAAGGTCCGCCGGGCCGTATACGGCCCACGGGCCGTAGTTTGCCCATTGCTGGTCTAAGCAGTACTATTACAAATCACAAAGTTTAAGCAGAATATTAGAAGGGATTGAGAAAAAAAAAAAAAAAGGGCTACAGATAAGATACATCAAAAGCGAGGCAGGGAGGGGGGGGATACTACACTCACACAGAAGGGGTCAAGCTTTAGCTAATAGATAGTCATAAAGCTGTCGGATAATGGTTGAGGAATCCCATGTCCAAATTAAGGCCGTTATCTTTTGTGTCAAATAGAATTATCATTCTTAGTTCAAATGTTTTTCTTTCCTGGATGGATTTAAATTTTCCTTTCAGAACTAAAATATTGAGGTCTTCCATATTGTGGCCTGGTTGTGTGAAATGGTGTCCTACAGGTGTGCAGAGGTCATCTTCTTTATGTTCCTTGATGGTATGTCTGTGCAAATTCATCCTTGTTTGCAACTTCTGTCCTGTTTCGCCAACATAAGATCCTTTGCTGCATTTTCTGCACTGGATAAGGTATACAACATTACTGGAGGTGCAGCTGTATGATCCAGAGATATTGAAGATTCCTTTTGAGTGTCTGACACTTTTTGATGGATTGATTTGGTTGCACAGTTTGCAGCGTATTTTATTGCAGGGTTTGCTTCCATTATTTGTGACATCATAATCAGAAGGAAGTTTCCTACTGATTAGTTTATTTCAACATCTATAACTCTTAGCAGGGGGAAATACCTCAGAGATTCTGTTGTTTGTCCGTATCCTGGCTTAGGGTGTCTGGTAGAGCATACTTAGCACCATAGAAGCCTAAGCTAAGCCTAAATCTGCACATCACCTCCCAAAGGAAGATTCTCTCAACTAAGTCAAAAGCCTTTTTGGCATCTAGGGAAGCTATGACTCCATACCTTTACTAATTTTACTGGGAAAGGAAGTGAGGGGAAGTTTATTTGACCTCGTTCTCTCTTGCCTCTCACCTCTGCTATTGGACAGTCAGTATGATGAACAGCCTTGCTGTGAGGTGGGAGAGGGGAAGAGCAGTCACAGCTTTTAGAAAAGTTACTAGTCAGTGCTCAGCATAAATGAGTACACCCCAACAGATTTGTCAGCAAACCTTTGCTTTCTTTTCAGAATCAGCATTTTTTATGGGACTCTATACTACAAAATACTCCCACAAATGCGGGCCATTGATTGCAAACAAGATTTGTTAATTTGCACCCACAAAAAAGTGTTTTTTCTAACAAATTCATTCAAGACCATGTTGCAAAAATAAATACACGTCTTAGGAGCAAAGCTAAATTTTAGACAACAAAATCCTAATTAACAAGAATTCAACTACAGGTTAGTCTAATTATTCATTAAACAGGTGTCCAGCAGACAGTCAATTATAAAAGGACAATACTTAACAAAGAAAACCCCTTCCCATTTCATGCTGTCAGCAATGGCGCCACATGGAAGTGAAATGTCACAAGGCGTGAGAAAGAAAATAATTTCTTTACACAATGAGGTGAAGGCTACAAAAAGACCAGCAAAGCTTTACTTATCAGTCAGAATACTGTAGCAAAAGTGATACAAAAATGTAACAAAGATGGAACTGCAACCATCTCACACAGACGTCCAGGCTATCCACAGAGGTTAACACCTCGACAGGAGCATCTTCTGATGAGAAGGGTTGAAGAAAATTGCCATGCAAGTTCACTGCAGTTAGCTAAAGAAGTAGAAAGCCAAACTGGGGTGATTGCTTCACGTGTCCTTCTGTGGGGCTGCATGAGTGCTGCTGGTGTCGGGAAGTTGCATTTCATTGATGGCATCATGAATTCACAGATGTAGTGCTCTGTATTGAAAGGGAAGATGCTACCATCACTCTGTGCCCTTAGTTGTTGTGCACTTTTCCAACATGATAATGATCCAAAAACACACATCTAAGGCTACTGATGCATTTCCGAAGAACAGGGTGAAAGTGGTTCAGTGGCCAAGTATGTCTCCTGATCTGAACCCAATCGAACACCTATGGGGAATTCTGAAGAGACAAGTTGAGCATCACTCTCCATCAAGCATCTAGGCTCAAAAAGAGGTTGTTCTTGAAGAATGGAAAAAGATAGATGTTGCAATATGTCGCCAACGTGTTCATTCCATGCCTAGATGACTTGATGCTGTCCTTACAAATCATGGAGGTCATACAAAATACTAGATGTAGTAGTTTTTGTTGTGGGGTGTATTTATTTTTGCATCAATTAATTTGCGTAATACTGCAGATTTTGTAATCTAAGTTATATTATTAACCTTACATTCATGTAATGAGCTAAACAAATATTCTATAAAACTCAGTTTTGGCAAGATTTTGGAATTGTTCTTGTGTTAATTGAGATATTAATTAAAATCTTACTTTTCAAAAGGGGTGTACTCATTTATGCTGAACACTGTACTCATAATAAAAGAAGTGCCTAGAAAGTAGCACAAACATATTTAGGAGACAAGAAGTACAGAAGGCTGTCAAAGACATAGCTTTACTTCCATGTTCATGACTTAATTGAAGATTTAACTTAAAGCAGATTTCCACTATTACATCGTATAACATTTTGTACAAGCCATTTTGTAATTTAATGTTGTTAAAAATTACATTTCCATATCAATCTGAAGCTGCTAAAAGTGTTCTGTACACTATTGGTCTACAAATTGCCTACACAATTGTCATATACTGTTTGTGTGAGTGGCTCACTGATTTCTCTGACATCTGCACTAGGATACAAATAGCGTTTTAGGCATCCTCTGCAATAAGAATTAACTTTTTGGTGAGATACTCCTTAAGGGTTAATTACTTATGAAGTGGTGCAGATAATGCAGCTTTCCTCAACAGAACACTGAGAGCGCAGCCGGTTGTTACAATGAACACACACCCTCCCAATTAGAAGTGTCTTGCAGAGTCATAGTTGTCCAGAACAGAAAAGGGTTGGACATTGATACAAAGCTTGTAATATCCTTACAATGAACATAGATCATACAGAGCATTTTTTTTGGTTGCAACTAGTAGGAACTGAGCAAATAGAGATTGGAAATTTGACTAGCAGCTTTTACCACTCCATGCATACTTTACCAGGACTGTATTTATGTGCACCAATGTAAAGAATGGGCCCCAACTTTAGCCAGCTGAAGAACTAGGGCAAAGGACTGTCTCATTAGATAGCTGTTCTATTAGAACTTCACTTGCTGCCCCCTACTGACCCTGGGCCCTCAGGCAGTGCCCGAATTTCCAAATGGTCAGCCCGCCCCTGTATCCTATTGTCTTGTGAATTGTTATAAACTGCATTTTCCATTTATTCATTCTTGACACTGCTGCTATTTAACACAATCCTTAACAATATATTAAGTTCTGTTTTCACTAACCAGTCTGGTGTCTATTTCTGGATATTGAGTTTTAGTTGTGTGCGGAGTATCTGTCTTTGTACTCTCAACAGCATTACAATCTCTATCTGTTTAACCTGGTGTGTCAGATGGACTGAGGCTGTCTACAAGTCGAGGTAAAGGACAGAAAACCAAAACTATCGAAAGGCTTCTGCAGGGGTAGCGCTACAATTACCTTAGCTGTAACACTGTTTCTTAGCAGAGGAAAAACAAATGGTTGCACAGAGTGCCCCAGCTAGAGAAAGGGCCATAGTGGTGAGAAACATCAATCTTAAATTTCCTAATTTACTAAAGTGTTGGTTTACTAAAGGAGTACAGACTGTTCACTTAGCAAAGGGAATCTTCACTTTGAATAGGTGAATGTTAGAAAATAATGTGAAGCTGTAATCGCTTCAATCAACCAATCACATAGTGGCAAAAAGGCATTTTTCTATTTTCCTCAAACATGTTTGGGTATGTCCACTTTGCAAAGTGAATTATAGTAAAAAGGTGAACACAGCTTTGCCTTTTTACTAAAATTCACTTTGCAAAGTGAACATATTCTTTTCAATGTGAATGTTCTCTTAGCTAGTGAACAGCATCTATTCCTTTAGTAAAACAACCCCATTGCATTATTTTGACTCAAAACCACTTGTCATTTTCACATCCATCCTTCATTGCAAACTTCCACTTTAACATGACATAAAATGTTTAAACCCATGCGTAGTGATGTCTTAGGATGAAAGTCCACAATTACAGAAATAAACTTACCACTAAAACTCCCATATGGCAACTCAATGTTGACAGTTGGGCATAGTGGAAAAATAACAGAATGGGTAGTGAATACTATAAACAAAGATTACTATTTTGCTGTCCTAAATCAAACAGTTTCTCTCATTGGGGAGAAGGGGGCAAATACTGCAGCCCTAGGTACCTGCACATACCTAAAGCTGCCTCCAAAATATTCTTGTCATAGTCATACTGATAGGTAAAGCTTCTGCACTTTCTCATAGAGCCAAAGTTTGCAGTGACCTTTCTGCTTCATATTCCTGCCAGGGTGGCTGACCCTCATGCCATTCAGTCATAACAGGAAAGTTTGGTAGGCTGCTGCAGAAGGCATGTCAGGGCACCTCTAGACATTTCCCCTCTTCTCCCAGTGAAAAGGTCTTTTAAAATGTCAACTTAGCCAAAAAAGTGTGCAAGGGCAGGTTTACCCACTTTAATAAACCTTTTCCTTTGTAAAACAAAAGCTGTAGAACAATCTAAAAGTGCAACACCTTTATTAACATCACAGGGACCCTGGGACCACTGAAACCTGTGGCAAATTGATATTAAAATCTACTTTGTTGACAAAACTGGCTGTCCCTCTTCTGCCTACTGGAAATTCCTTACTAGGCAATGAAGCTACCCATGAAGCCAAAGAATCAATAGTGAGTTGCGTGACACAAGAGTGAGGACAAGTTAGGCTTTGAATTGCATATCAGAGAACCCTAGGTTCTTGGGGTTCTGGGTTCATAAAGTTATGAAAGCTATGTGCTAGCACCTGAGGCACTTCATTCAGTACAAGTATACAATGGAAAAAGTTACAAAAGTAAATAAATAAAAAATAAAATTGGAACTTCACCTGAAAAGGAAAGTTTTGCTTCTCCTCCTCCTCTCCCCCTCCTATATCCTCATTGTAAATGTTTTTTTTAAGGGGATGGGTACCTAGTTTTGAGAAGTACCCAACTCAGCACCTGCCCACAGCCTTTTGGGACATGTCACAGGTCTCAGGAAGCTGCAGAACCATTAAAAAAGCGCAGCGTGTCTTGCACATTCACAGTGGGGAGCCAGTTGTGAAGCGGCAGGTAGTCACAGCTTCCCATAGTTAACATGGCTGTGCTGGGGACCCAAAGACCGGTGAAGACTGTCTCAGGTGAAGATAGAGCTGGATCCCTGGGCTAGTACATGTCTTTTCATTAAAAATCAGCATCTTTAATATGTGTAGCTGTTGATTTTTATCTTTTCAGAGCTCCAATTTAAGGGCTTGTTCACACCAGGGTGCAGAGACATCAGTTTTTCTGCTACGGTGAGTGGCAATGTTTCTTCTAGCTGAGCCACCTGGAATTCTGGAAAACTCCCTTGACAATTATTTGGATGATCTTACCTTGACCTTGTTTGTCATGAACCTTAAACCCCTTGCTTCTTCCATGAACTTCCTGATACAAGCCATGTCTTTGCACTGTTTGCCAGATTATTGTGCTCTCTAGCCAGTATCGTGCTCCTTGCCTTCTCTGCTGTTATCGATATTTTGCTACCACTCGTTATTGACCCTTGGCTTGTTCTCGACTACGCTTCTGCCTGATCCCAACCTGCAACTGCTTATTACCGACCTTGGCTTGTTTACTGACCATGCTTCCGTTTAATCCTTACCTGCTTAATATGATACTGGACCTCCTTTTGCTCACCTCCTGGTGGGATGATCCTAAGGACCTCGACCTGGTGCTAACAAAAACAGCAAAATCCATCTCCACCATCCGGAGCTCTGGTGAACACCAGTTGGTACTTAGACTCCGCACCTCGGGTGAGCCCACTCCTCCGCCACGGTGACCTGCCTGTGTACCTATTCTGCTGGTTTCAGGTAAACCTTTCCACTGCTATAGCAACTGGTCTTTGAGCCTGACCCCTGATCATGACAGAATAATCTGGCCCAAACATGTAGGCCACTATAGCAAACGTTGTGATTCCTCTTAGGCAGCAAATTGCTGTGCTGCAGGAATTTGGGGTTACTCATCAAGAAAAAGTTGCCAAACTGGAAAGTATAGTGGATAGGAAACAGGGAGAGATTCATATTCTGCAGAGACAACTGCTGGACCGAGATGATACTAACTCACATATGCCCCAGCCCCAACTGTCTAAGTTTAATGGAGACCGCCGCCATTACAGGGGTTTCGTTAATCAATGTCGTATATATTTCCAAATGCACCCTGCTGCATTTCCTTCAGAGAAAAAGAAGGTAATGTTTATTATTGGACTTCTGACTGGGGAAGCTCTAGCTTGGGCCTCCCTTTATATAGAACAAGACAGTGGCACTCTGGATGATTTTGAGACCTTTTTGAACCGCGATGAATCAGATTTTTAATGATCCCAACCGTTGTGCTACTGCCGAAGCAAAGTTGCATAGTCTGGGGCAGGGTAAACGCTCTGTCGCTGAATACACAGCCGAATTCAGATGTTGGATCGCAGATACCACTTGGAACCCTGCAGCACAAAAAAGCCAGTTCTGCCAAGGGTTTTCTGAACAGGTAAAGGATGAGCTTACCAGAGTAGATACTCCTAATGATCTTGAGGCCTTCATCCAATTATGTATCCGAATTGATCAAAGACTTACAGAAAGGAGGAAGGAGAGGCTGGGAATGTTTGGAAATAATGGTGGCATGCATCTCTCTGCTAGTCCATTTGTTCTGCAGGATTCAAAAGTCTCTCTGGGTTCTAACACTCCCGGGTCTATGCAGGTTGATGCTATCACAAGATCCATTTTCATTCAGGAGAGAGAGAGAAGACGTTCAGAGAACTTATGTCTATATTGTGGGGACTCTGGTCATTATGCAGTTAATTGTCCTAACAAAGTTAGAAGAACAATTGCTATAGCTGATGTGATTGTGCCTGAACAAATAAACTCTATTAGCCAGTCTGTCTCCCCACTGATTCCTGAAGAAAATAAAGTGAACTCTTTACTCTCATTTTGTCATCCCCATTAAACTTGTCTCCGAGGACCATGAAATCTCCTGCTCAGCTATGCTGGATTCCGGGGCTGGGAGGAAATTTATGGATATAGAATCTGCCCACAGCAATAATATTCAAGCAAAAAATACATTTACCCATATTGATATGGAGATAGTTGATGGTTCACCCTTATCTTCAGGACCTGTTACCCATAAAACGGTACCCCTGATACTGCAGTTTGAGGCTGACCATTGTCAGATCATCAGCTATTCAGCTGATTACATCACCCAAGTTTCCTATCATCCTGGGCATTCCTTGGTTCTCCACTCACAATCCCTCCATCAACTGAGGAGCACGGACTATAGATACGCCCCCCCACTGTGAAAAATACTGTAGGGAACTTAGTCGACCAAGTTCTTCACCGGCCAAGGAATCTTAAATTGATATGGTAGCTATCCAGTCATATGGCAACTTGCCTCCACAATACCATGAGTTCCGGGATGTCTCTGACAAGAAAAATGCCAATCAATTACCTCCTCATCGCCCATATGATTGTCCCATTGAGCTGCTCCCAGGGGCAGAAATACTTTTTGGCCACCTTTTTAATCTGTCAGAACCTGAATTAAAGGTGCTCAGGGAGTGGCTCGATGAGAATTTAGAGAAGGGCTTTATTAGACACTCAATATCTCCTGCAGGAGCAGCCCTGTTCTTCGTTGAAAAGAAAGACTCCACCTTGCATCCATGCATTGACTACAGAGACATGAATAAAATCACTATAAAAAAACGCTATCCACTACCCTTGATTTCTGAAATGCTGAAAAGACTTCCACTGACACCAATGATGCGGCACTATTCCTCTGACACTAATGATGGGGCACTATTCCTCCTACTGACACCAATGATGGGGCACTATTCCTCCCACTGCCACCAATGATCGGGCACTATTCCACCCAATGATACCAATAATGGGGCACTATTCTTCCACTGACACCAATGGTGGGGCACTATTCCTCCAAATGACACCGATAATGGAATAAAATAAGAGGTGGCGCTCTAATAGGAAGAGGTGGAGCCTAAAAAGGAAGGGGTGGAGTTTAAACAAGAAGGGGTGGGACACATTTAGATGCAGGATGTGCCCAATTTTAGTTTTCACTAGGGCAGCACAAAACCAAAATACACTACTGTCTGCAAGTGAAATCTGCTTGTTAGTTTCCATCAGTTTTTCTGCACGTATGGTGTGAACTAGGTCTAAGAAGGTACATGTTTTCACTTCCCTGACAGAAAACTTGTTTTTGGAGTGTTTGACAATGTAGACTACTGAAAGCCAGCCCTATAATG